CAACCAAAGTAAATCCTCTAAAGTGTTTTACAGCCATAAGTACTATTATGCAGAACAGCAGAAAGTACTATTTTTATTATCTCTGGCATCTGGGTTTTCTTTGAAGGACTCAGAAATTGTTTTATCCCCCTAGTCAACATTATCTCCACATGAGCCAAGTGGGCTGTCTCTTTTAGTCTCTTCATCCCCTTTCCTAGTGCTGAATATTCCCCTATTTTCTTCCCTTTTAGAGAGCCCAGCACCTCCTGTTCTTGTGTCTGCACCAAGATGGAAGCCATTGAATTTAAACTCTTAGCCTCCCTCCTCTCCCCTTCAAGATTTCCCACTTGGTCACCCTCTGGCTCTTCTTTGCTCTGACTTTGAGAATTAAGCAGCTGTTTCTTCTCTACCAAAGAAAACCCTCCTATTTGGACTCTTGATTCTGCTGGTGCTCCTGCCTTTCACTTTGTTTAAGCTCCCAATTCTAACTCGTCTTCCTCTTCTCTATTTTTATGGTCTTGTCTTGTCGGTTTTCTCCGTCTCTTTCTGCTGTTTTCTTTATAATAACATCTCTCGATGAAAATCTCACTCAATCTTTCTCTGTCATGCAAAGAGGTCAGCATCATCAAAATTGCCCTATTTTTAATACGTTGTTTGCATCGAATCAGGGCAGAGCTTGCCATCATCTTTCTAGACCCATTTTATTTCTGTCTTGGAATTCTGTTAATCCCATTTACTTAGAATAAGCTGTTTTCTGAAAATACCACTCACAAAAATAGTTTTTAAAAGCATTTAAAAACCTTCTATCTCAATCCATATTTCTCTAAAGGATGAAGGATCAGGGGGATCTGCCCAAACCATCACTTCCTCCCATGTTGGAAGAGTCCACGTGTGAGACTGCTGAGTCTCATTGCTGAGAATGGCAGCTACTTTGCTGTGCCTTTGACACAGAAAGGGAGACCTCTTTCCTGAAGAACCTTGACTTTTGAGTCCTGACAACAGGTAGCTTTCATTATCAAATGGGTTCTTAAAACGTACTCAGCCAAAGACTACCAGGAACAAGTCTGTAGCATGAAAAAAAAGCAGATTTATTGCCTTGGAAAAAGGGAGGGCACATCAGAGGAGTGCCTGCCGCTAGACAAGCAGGAAGAGGTAGGCATCTTTTGTGAACTGGGCTCTCACTGAAGGACTTTGAAGATGGTCTAAGGGAAGCAGGGATCAGTTTTGCATTGGTTGTTGTTTTGAGATATGAGTAGAAAAAGAGGCAATTAACTAGGAACTGGGTGTTTTCATGAAGTGAAGGTGTCAAGATGACTGAGCAATTGGGTATCCCTAGTAAGAAATGAAAATAGCACGTGGTCTGGGGCATCACTGGTCAGTAACCACCCAAAGAGAGGGTCGTTATTGTAATTTCTAACTGCTCCTTGATCTTGGCAGAAACAGTGTTTTCTATTAACGTTGCAGCTGCCTTCATCTGTGTCTGTCCTCCCAGCCTGATTAGTGGCAGGGCTTTTTTCTTTTTTTCTCTTTTCAGTCCAAGTTGGTTTTCCCTCTTTCAATTCCAAACAGATTTTCAGCATCCCAGACTCTAAACTCACTGAAATACATTTCCCCACCTAACCAATTGTAAGTATTTGGGTTCATCTTGATTTAACTTAATAGAAAACTCTAGAGCAGACATTAAGCAACCTTAAAAAGTTGAGGCAAAGCCATGTGATTTCACTCCCAGGTTCCAATTTAGAATATTTAAAACTTTTCCAAATGCCCCACCACTCTGCCTTTTGATGATGCCACTGCCTTTCTAGATTAGAGCAGGTCTATTACCCTACTCTGAAAGCTTAATGGCTCCTCATTAGAAATCTCATTGTCTTTGAAGCTCACCATGATTTGGCTCTGTTCTACCTTTCCATTCTCCTCTCTTTCTATGTGTTTCACATTTGAGCCACATCAGAGCGACCCTTGTACTTCTACACTTCCATGCCTTTGCTTACACTTTCCCTCATCCTGGAGGGATCCTCTGTCCCAATCAAAATCCTATTCTCACTTATCTGAAGCAAGAAGTTTCTCCACGAAGCCACTCCTGAATCAGCCTGTTGACACTACCAGCTGCTTCTTTAGCATTCCCATAGCACTTTGTTTATGCCTCTGGTTAGCATTGCTTTTCTTCCGTCTCCTAAGAACGCAGTGTTTTTTAGAGTTATCCTTGATATTTGGGGGGAATAGTGTTATTTTACCGACTCTCTACGTCCTGGGGAACATAGAACTCTCTACGTTCTTAACCTGAAGTTCATGACTTCATGTCTGGGGACATGGGAAAGTGAAGTATCTTGTGAAACTTTATGTATACATCTGTACGTACATGTTATATAATTGTGTAACTTGTTGGGAAGAGGGTCTACAACTTTCAGCAGATGCTCAAAGAGATGTGTAACCCCAAAGAGGTTAAGAATAACTATTAGAATATTAGACTGTTGTGGAATGGGCACTCTGCCACTCAAACAGATGGGGGAGAGGAATACAAACAACCCAGAAATCATGAATGTGCATCAGATGTGGGTGCTTAGGGCATGGTACCCAGCTGGGCAGGTGGAGAACTCTATCCACCCAAAGCTGCCAAGGGCTATTTGCCAGTACTGATTAAACTCTGGACTGTACTTTCACTGACTTTAGGAAATTGCAATAAAATTCTGTCCTCCCCAGTCAAGGCACAGCAGCACAGTCATTGGCTGAGTTTGTCCACATAAATGCCCTGACCGTGCCTTTGCTGAGAAGCCAAGTTGGCAGTGGCAGCAATGCTACTTGTCCTCATCTACTTTTTCTATTCCCAGATAAATATTAGTTTGATTAATAATCACATTTCAGTCAGTCACAGGCACCATGAAGACTAAAATTCTGGAGGGAAAAAATAGTGCATGACATATATCTTTTCTCCATCCTTAGACTAAATAGAAAAGCTCCTCAAAAGGATTATATGATGCCATATCTTCCTATTCTCTCACTTTAACACAGGTGTCTAAGTATATGTGTTGCAAGACAATACAGTCAATGTTGAGCATGAATGAGACAACTATGACCTGACCTTCAGTGCAAGAGACAGGCCCTTGATGATACTGCCCATGAGAAAAAGACTCATGATTTTGAGAATGTTTTTCCTGCCACTTCTCTCCTTCCATGCCTTTCTTAGAAAAGTCTCTGTGGAACTGACTTGGCTAATAACGGGTTAGCATTAGAAAAAGGCATGAAAAATATGTACACTTCCAATAGTCATGTGCATTCACATGCCCATCAACTAAGCCTCATTTTGGCACCTGTTGAGATCATTTGCCACAGCTTATTTTCTCTCACAAGGGTATGCAAAGAGAGAGCAAAAGAATATGCTATTCAGCACCAGGGTTTAGGGGGCAAAACTCCATGTTTCCTCTTCCTCAAAGTGACTAGTTATCATTATTACTTCTTTCTTTTCAAACAAACCCAGTTACAAAAATCCTACAACAGCAAAAGCATTATGAAAATCAATGATAATTCTTCCAAAAGCAAGTGTGACTGCCTTCAAACCTAGCTATTCGTGAGCGAAGGAGCTTAGTTCTCAATCTGAAAAGCAATAAAACTTGCATATAGTCAAATCAACCCCTACCAATGAGTTCCTTTGGGATTAACAGATAATATTTTAACTCAGTAATTTTAAAATGAGCATGCATTAGAATCATCTAAAAGGCCTGTTAAAATACAGATTGCTGGGCTTCAGCCCCAAAGTTTCTGATCCAGTAGATCTGGGGTGGAGCTGGAGAATGTGGATTTCTCATGAGTTCCGAGGTGATTCTGATGCTACTGGTGTGGAAACCACATGCTGATAACCACTGATGTAGGACTTTAAGGTTGTGAGGTATTGGTAATTAATTCAGAAACCAGGACATAACATGTTTTAAACTACCTAGTAATACAAGGTAACATAAGGGTCCAAAATAAGCTACAGTGTGTGTGATATTGAGAGAACGGGAATTCTGGGCTGGCAGGATTTGAGCTGACTCCCAAGTCCAGATGGAATTAAGATCATCAGAGAGGATGGTGGAGGGCATTCTAGGATGGGCAGAAGAATCAAGTTAGTTAGAGGTAAGACTGGAGGGGTAGGTAGGGACCAGTTTGTGGAGAATGGCTTTCAATGCCATTCTATGAAGAGTTCAGATTTTATGTAGCAGGTAATATTTCTTCCATTCCCACATTATTCCTCCCATGGCATGCAGTCACAAAGCTCTAGTTCCAGGTTACTGCAAACATTTTAACCTTCCCAAAGTATTGTTCAGCTGAGGTGAGGGGGAAGAGGGAAGGTTTTAGCGTATCTCTGATGTTTGATGAAGATACGAATTGAGATTGGGAGTTGGATTATTTGCAGTGTAGAGTCAATTTATTTTTCCTAGGTTGGAGGGATGGGAAAGCCAGCAACTTTTGGATGGCATCTGAAACACTAAGTAAAGCTTATTTCAGTATAGATTTTGGTTGCTGACAGGAATAGGAAAAAATCATGGATGTCTTGGGCAACTGTGGCTCTTGAAGTGGGCAAGACCATTCACTAGAGGCCAGTGCTTTTCAATCTTTAAGGTGCACGTGTAGGAATCATTTGTAGATCTTGTTAAAATACAGATACTGATTCAGCAGGCCTGAAATGGTGCATTTCTAACAAGTTCCCAGAGGATGCTGGTGCTGGGGACTGCAATTTGAAACAAGGTACCAGAGGACATCCAGAGCGCGTTAGGGGTAGAGAGGCCCGTGGGGCATCCTTCCCGAAGTAAGGAAGGAGGATAAATGCGATCCTTAAAGAAAGGCCCTTCTCCAGTCACTCAGGAGAGCGGGGACAATGGTGTGGCAGGAGGAGGAGAGCGTGGGCAGAGCTGGGAAGGTGGCAGCCGGGGAGGGCGACGGCGCCGAGGTGCGTCAGGTACGGGTGTTCGGGTGATGGCTGTCCGGCATTGCCGCGGCGCGTCTCCGCGTGCTCGAGGCGCGATTTCTGCTCTTTAGGCCCTCGGCGGCTCCCATCGCGGCTCCCGGGCGCCCAGCTGGGACCGCGGCAGCAGCGGCGGCGGCGGCGGCGGCGGCGGCGGAGGCAGCCGGTCACTCCACCGCGCGAGCCGCGCACACCTAACCCGCCGGCCCCGGCGCTCTGGCTCCCGGAAGCGGAAGGGGAGCGCGTCCCGGCTAGGGCGGTGGCGGCGGGACTAGAGGAGGAGGAGGAGGCGGAGGGGGAAGAAGCGGAGGTGGAGGGGGAAGAGCTGCCGGCGGCCGCGAGAACAGCGGCGGGGAGAGGCGAGCCCCCGGCGCCGGTGAGTGTGTGCAGGCGCGAGAACGCCACGGCCGCCCCCCCGCCCCCGGCCCCTGCAGCCCGGCGCCCGGCCGCCCGCCCCTGGCTGCGCCCCTGTTCCGCGCCCTGTTCCCTGCCCGCACCTGCCCTCGCTCCCGCTCAGAACCCCGGGTCTTCTGCGTGCCCTGCCCGCCTGGGGCCTGGCCTTTCTCCCAGCATCTTCAGCCAGAGCTGCAGCCGCCCGCCAACTGCCCCTCCTATAACTGGTGGTGGGTGGGTTCGTGCTCCAGTCAAGATGATTTGGGGTAGTTTTTCGTGTGTGTGTGTGTGTGTGTGTGTGTGTGTGTGTGTGTTTAATTAAAAAAAACCTTTGCCCTGAGTTTCTCGCGTGTGAACTGTAGTTTCTCTCTCTGTACCTGCGCCCGGAGACCTACGTAGGGATCTGGGATTTATCCCTTGCCATCACAGCCTTTCATTCATTTCCAGATCGCTGGGTGAGGCTTCAGAAGACTTGCAGGAGGAGAAATAGTTTGCTCCTTTACTGACCTTCTGCCTCCCTCCCCCAGATTCAAGAGTGGTTTTAAGAAAATGGCTTACGGATGGCAGCAGTTTGCACTTGTTACCATTCACTGTAACAGACCGCTTTTAACTGGGGAGATTTTAACAGATTTTAACTGGGGAGTCCATTTAAAGTTGTGCTCTTTCTCAAGCTGTATTTGGAGCGTATTTTAAGATCCCTTGTGAGTCAGTGGAGGATGTCTATCTCTAGGGCTAAGAAAACCTGACCAGTTTATTACTTGAAAATATTGCAATATAGCAGTCTATAAAAGTACAAGAGGAAAAAAAAAATCAAGGTCGTTGTGAGCAGGTCATAAATCATAGTGTAAAGTTACAGTATAAAATCATGACAACTAACGATAATTAAGCATGCGGGTTAAAAATATTTGTCAGATGGATCCAAGGCCTAATATGTGTACTTTAAAAAATTCACTGCCTTCCTTGTAGTAAAAAGTAATAATAATTATCATCTGATGATTGCTTAGTATATGCCATTCCTGAACTAAAAGGCCTTTGGTGTAATATCTTGTTAAATCCTTCCAACTCTTTAGATTTTATTTATTTTAAAGATAAAATCCAGAGAGCTGCTTTATTTTGCCGTAGGTGTGCTAAGTTGTCATGGCAAAAAAGATTTTTGAAGAGATGAGAAATCAGTTGGAAAGAAGGAACCAAATGATTTGGTGTCGTGGAAAGAAAAACTAGATTTTAGTTCCATTGCTGTCACTATTTAGCTGTGGGGTCATGGGTAGGTCAGTGACCCATGCCATTTTTCATCTATACAACCAGGAAGTCAGGATAAATTCTTTAATGCTTATTTTAGCTTTCCCATCCTTACTTGACATATGCTAAGTTTGTAAATAATTTAAGACCCTTTAACATGTTAAAGTTACTTTTAAAACATTTACCTGAAGAAGTATTAGTAAAATTATATCAAAATATAACCAAAAAAATGTAAAATTCCATACTTTTAGAATAATATTTGGTGTAGTACTATTTCAGAATTCCTCATTTTGGAGGTAAAACAATAGGATTATATTAAGTCCCTTCAAACTGTTGTGACTTCTGTTAAATTTAACGTACTTTTGAAGCCGTAGTTGGAATAAATGAACTAGAGCATATTTTAAATAAAACGGTGTCACATTGCCTATCTCTGGGGTGTTTTACTTAATAAAAAGAAATTTAAGCATTTAAAAATGCAAACATGTAACCATCAGCTTAACAGGTATGTTCTAAAGAAGTAACCAGTGAATCATAAAATTTTTTACTTCTTATTTACCCACTGCCTGATTTCTCTAATTCATAGAGACTGATTCAGAACCTGTGGAAAAGCACATGGATAGAATAATGTCATGTATTAGTGAAGAAATGAATTTAGAAGTCTAGTAATGTCTCCATGGAGCTTTTTTTCAGGAATTGTAATTGAATGTGAGTCAATAAAATCTTTTTCAGTGTAGAAGGCTACATAGTGGCGTTATCAGTACTACCAGGCATAACAGGGAAGGCGGAGGAAAAGCTATTTTTATTACCAGGAAGTTGTTCCCTAAGCTCAGTTTTACTTTTATATTAAGGAATGAAGACATTTTATATTACTTTAGTAAAACATTAGGGCTCAGTTTCAACTTTTCAAATGCACTAAGTATAAACGGCATCGTAGCATGTAGTAGAATAATCAATGAATTAATACCTCTTATTAAAGTTGAAAATGTTTTGCTTTGAATCAGTAAAAAATATAGGTGAATGACATGAAGAAAAATGGAAAAACACCAGTCTTGCTTATTATCAGAGTAGTGATTTTTTTTTTCTTTATTGGAGTATAATTGCTTTACAATGGTGTGTTAGTTTCTGCTTTATAACAAAGTGAAATCAGCTATATACCTACACATATGTCCCTATATCTCCTCCCTCTTGCATCTCCCTCCCACCCTCCCTATCCCACCCCTCTAGGTGGTCACAAAGCACCGAGCTGATCTCCCTGTGCTATGCGGCTGCTTCCCACTAGCTATCTATTTTACATTGGGTAGTGTATATATGTCCATGCCTCTCTCAGAGTAGTGCTTTTTTTGGTTAAGAATCTTTGTTAAATTGAGTTAGCCTAGTTTAAAAAGCATATCTTAATAGACATGAAATAGCACTGCTCTCCATGGTAGCTACCTTCCCCAAAATATCTTAAAGTGATGGTAGATTATTTACTTATTTCCCTCTTTTGACGTACCATGGGAAGAAACGTGGTATTCTCAAAGTTTGTCTTCTGCCTTTTAGGCCTCTTCTTTCCCTGTGCTTTTCCTCTCAGGTAGATTGACTTGATCCATTTAAGAGACTGAATAGGTTTCTGCTCTCTTCATCTCTCTGTTGCTGCCACTTCCACAAAAGGGCAAGTTAGGTAAAAATTAGTATTTTACTACTCACTGATTCATTCAATTTTAACTTAATGTGCTCCACTGTGATCTCAACCAGGCTTCTGATTTTAAGCCTTTTATCTGTAATTATGGAATGAATAACTTTTTTACCTGCTGCAGGATTTTCAACTTCAGCAAGCAAGGAGAGATTTTTTTTCTTTTAGTGTTATTGGTTTTAAATCATGTCTGCTCTGGTAAAGCCTGGTGTGAAGGAAATCTAATTTAGCCTTTTGGTTTGTGTGTTCTTTTTTTCAATCTGTTCTTGGTGCAGTGGGTACTAGATAGAGGTAAGTAGCTGGCTTGCCTTTCCTCATGGAAGAACATGTCTGATTCACACCCAGGAAATGCCAGAGTCTAACTTCTGGCTTTTACTGTAGCTGAAGTTTTTTCCTTGTGCTGTTTTTGGAGCAAAGGTTACTCGTGCCTTCTGTTCCTACCCTGCATTTAACTCCAGTTCTTCCCTTGCCTGTCCTGTCCTTTTTCCCACACCCATACCTTCCTAAATGAAGAGTCCTGCCTAGACATTTTGTACTGATTGAAACAGTATTTGGTAGTCTTTAATTCATATCATCACACACCTTCCCAGTTATTTTTGCTTTTTGTTGGGAGATTCTGAAGAAGTGTGTCGTTGTACTGCAATACTTTTAATAAAGGTATTAATGTACATTTTTTCCACTCACGAGGCGGGTACACAGAAGAGCAACAGCTTACGTTCAGTTCTGCCCAGAATATAGTGATTTAAAGACTTGTTCTAGGAAGTGGATTCTTGAAACCATTGATGGTACAGGTTTGATATGCTTTGACACTTTGTCTACCCACATTTTAACAGTCTTCCTGGAGAACTGAGCAATTGGGTCAGAATTCCCTACTTTAATTCTGCATTCTTCCTTAGCTTTTGAAATCACGTGCTGGTTTTCTGCCATGCTTCATTGCTTAATTTCCCAGTCCTTCCACTTTTACCTGAAAGAGATTTAGTTTACAGGCTTTAGTTCAGTCACTCTATTTTAGATCAGATCTCTATTTTTGGTTTTCTGCTTGAAGAGACCTCACGCCAGCCTTGTGGAAATACAACCTCCCTACATGCTTATAGTGTGATGCGAGGGAAAAGGCTGTGTACTGTCCTATCTGAGGCTTCTCATCTCTGACAAGTTCTCAGACTTCAGTGTTAGAGAAGGTAGGGAGCTGGGTATAGCTAAATTGTATTTAATGACAGTGACCCAGAAACACTGTTTCATCCTGGAGTTTGTAAGACTAGATGTACAATTCATCTTTAGTGCCCCCTGTCCACCACCCCCCACAAACGCCCCTTTAAAGTTGCCATTGTTGGAGGTGCTTATCATTTGCCAGGCAATTTCTCTTTTAATTATGACAACCACCTTGTGTGTTGATATTTTTATTACCATTTTAGAGATGGTTAAACAGAAGCTTGAAAAGAAACTGAAGTTTGGAGAGCTAATAAGAGGCTGTTTCATAATTTGAATGTGGCTCTCTTAAGTGTCTGTATAAGATTAATTTCCTACTCTATTGAAATAAACTGAATACCTCTGATATTTTAAAAATTGGATTACCTCTTTGGCTAATTATTAAAGACAGCTATATCCTGATATTTTAGGTAGAATTACTTGACCAATTTTTCAGAGTTGATAAAATCAGAAATTAAATAGCTGTATAAATATGTAAGATTCATTTTAAGCTGCAGTTAAAAGGTTTAAATTTTATATATTTTAAAATTTTATATATTTGTATATTAACCATTTTGTTTTGACCCTCGGGGGGGATTTTTTTTTTTTTTTTTTTTGTTTTCCCTGTAAATTTTTGATTGCAGTCTCAGATGTAGCAATGTTAAAAATACTTAACATTTTGTAGTTATAGAACTTTGAGATATTCTTTGTTATCACAAAATTTCTTGGGTTTTTAAGACTAGAATTGCTTTTATATCACATGGGTGAGATTTGATTCCACAGTGATGGCGATGCTGAACTAGATAAAATGTTCATCTCATTTTGGATGCTATGGCTGTGATGTAGTTCTGAAAACTGTAAATGTAAAGTAGGATTTTTTCCTTGATTTTAAGCCAGTGAGTGACTAGGGTTTGACTCATAGACGGTTGACTTGTGCTGTTACCTAATGTTACTGATGGAAACTACTGTTTTGCTGCAACAGTAAGAAGCCACCCTAGAGTCATAGCTTTAGCAGAATTACTGACTTTGGCCATGTTTCAGAGCACTTCATTGTACCACACTTAATTCTGCTTGAGATCTTTTCTAGAAGAAGATGAATTCATTCATTGCCACTAGAGTAGCAGCTCCTTTACTAAATCATTCTGTATTTTGTCTCTAAGAAGCAAATGTGCAGCCAAAGAGACCAATTAGCTTAGAAAGTTAAATTAGCTTAGAAAGTTAGAGTATAAACAAGTTAGATATATATCACAATCTAACAATCATGGACCATAGAAAAAGTGACCCTGGGAGAAAGTACAGTTTAAAAAAAAAGTCTGTAAGGGGAATGGAAATGTAATGATAATGATTTTGATGTTTTTTTCCACATCCTCAGTATGTAATAGATTCCTATTGCTGTGGTAAGCAGTATGCATAACAAACTCACAACTTGTCCTTTATCTCCTTTCTTGGAGAATGGTACCACCATTCACCAAGACCCTAAGCCAAAAACTTGGGAGTCATCCTAGCATCTGCCCTTTGCATGATTGATTACCACATCCTATCAGTTTTACTCATTAAGTTCTTATTCTGCCCTTTTCCGGCATACCTCCTGTCTTAAGTGTTCCTTCCTCACCCCCCTCCCCTCCCCAATTCCTTTAGAAGTTACTGTTTTTGGGGTACTTACCATGTGCCCTCATTTCTCACCTGAATAACCAGTAAGCCTAGCTTATTCCATATAGTCAGTCTTGGAGCTTTATCCATCCACCCAAGTTCATTCCTCAAAGTGTTGCTCTTCTTTCCAAAATGCACATTTCATCATGGCATTCTTCTGCCTTTAATCCTTCAGTACTTTCCAAACTACTGTCTTCAGGGTGAAGTCCAAACTCATTGGCATGGTTTAACAGTGTTTTTTATTCTTAGATCACCCTCTTCTTGTAGGTCATGAAATCAGTCTAGTAGGCTGTGACCAGCATTATATATTTTTATTAAAGTGAAATATAATAAAATAGTACAGTATCAGAGTATGTCACATATAGTCAGGGAGAATATCACTTCATTAAACTTTTTCAGTTATATATTTTATATATGTGAAATATATACTCACATATCTCATATATTTCTGTGTATATATTACCAGATGTCCTGAACTATATTTCTTAAAGATGCTTGTGGTCGAAAGGTTAAACGCGTTTTATCCCATTCTTCTATATGCAATGACTCTAGTCATTTCAGTTTACTTAGATTTTCTTTGCCTGCCCTTATACCTTTGCGTACTCTGCTCTCTTGTTCAGAAGAGCCTCGATTCTTCATCCACAGGTTTTGCTCTCTCCAGAAATCTTTTCCTGATGGTAACGTACCAAAAGAAATAAATTTTTTATTGCAACCTCGTACACACAAATATTTACATAACTGAAAAGTTCCGTGAACCAATACCCTTCCTGTATGAGATGCATTATTGCCCCCTTGCCCTCTGTCTTACCTTGTCTTACTTGGTATTGATCATGTCTGTTTACTAGTTTGTCTCTATTGAGAATAGGGATGGTCTCTTTTTCATCTATACCAGTGCCAAGGCGTAGTAATACAGATAGTGATAGAATTAGTGAGATACTGAATCAGTCAGTATATGTTTTCTAGAACTCTTTATAGTATTATTGTTTAAGCCTGAACTGTAGAAACTAACTTTAATGGTTGATTCTCTTAATGGTTTCATTATAGGAGGATAACTTTTTTCCTTAAAACATTTAAACTAATATGTGCTTCTATTTTAAACTCTTTATTTTATGTTTATCAATTGTGATTAGATAGTCCAGGCCTAATATCTTGATAGATATTACATTGGATTTTGTCACATCAGTGACCTCAGAATGTATTGTCATTTTGTGATTTGAGGTCAGTAAGTTTGATGAAGCCCAGATGCTGGACATGTAATACTAATTTGATTTTATGGGAACTGAGTGGTTTCAAAAGAGAGAACGTAGAATGTTCATGTATAATGGTAATCAAATAAAGATTTTTGGGGGGCTGGCTGTATTAGATATGAAAGCATAGAATTAAGTGGAGTTGAATCATTTTATTTCTAAATTTAAACTTTTTTTTTGTAATTGACATTTTTTACAGTTAGAATATTTAGTTGCTTACAGTTTTTATCTTTGTTGTGAGATATTATTTGTTAAACCATTAATAGATTCGCACGGAGAACTGCTCTTGAGGAGAGATCCATTTGTTGGGATATAATAAAAAGAATGAATCAAGATAAAACCTCTAAATGCAAGTACCAGAAAAATTACAGCACATCTCAGTGAATTTGCAGGTGGTAAGTGCATTTAATTTTAATGGGAATATGTTTCTGAATTGTGCGTAGTATAGTATCCTTAGGCATAGTATCCTTAAAGTGTTTTGTTTAGATGAATTTAACAATCTTTCATTTGCAAAAAAAATGGTAGTTCCTTTATGTTTATATAAAATTTTCATATTATCTTTTAACTACACATTTTCTTAAATAAGGCTTTTTCCATAGAGAAAAAAATCTGTAAATAATACAAGTTTCAGAAACATCTTCCTGAATTATAAGTTTTATATGGCTTTACAGCTGATGCTTCTGTGCTGCATTTTTAAAGATATTAATTTTAAAAGCATTTCATATAAGGATAATACATAGTGATAAAGAGACGCTAAAAGTAAAAATTTTGTTTGTGAGGTTGTAATGTCAAATCACACCTTATTGGCTATCTTTATTTTTCAGTTGGTCGAGAAGAATTTAGAAGTACATATGTCTATTAATAAACTTACATGAACACATAAATATATATATAAAATGTGACAGCATTCCTTGTCACTACTCTTTCCTTCCTCAGCCCAGTGGTAACCACTGTTAACAGTTTGGTAGATGTGTTTTCTTCCACCCATACAGAAATTAACTTATACATATTTTTTTTCTAACAAAAAAAGAAACATGTTATACAACGTACATCTGAATACCCATCATCTAGATTCTACAACTAATATTTTACTGAACTACATCACATACTCATCCATCTCTCTGTCCACACATCAGTCCATTTTTTGAGGGGATCCGTTTGAAAGTAAATTGCAGACATCAGTATACTTCCTTCCCCCTCTCCCCAGTCAGTTTACATGCATATCAGCAATGGATGAGATTGTCCTTTTCTCTGTGCCCTTTCAACATTGGGTGTCATCTGTCTTTCTAGAATTTTGTCAGTACGAAGGGTAAATAATATACCTAGTGATTTCACATTTTCCTAATCAATAATGATTAACCACTGGATTTTTTTTTCTTTTGTGAATTGCCTCTCTGTGTATTTACTTTGTATGACTCTTACTAGTCATATGGTATATTCTTTTTTTCCAGGGATGCTTTGCCTTTTAATTTTGTTTCTGGTGTGTTTTGAACTGCAGAAATTTTAATCTTTATGTGGTCAAAGGTGGCTTATGGGTCTTGTTGAAGATCTTCCTCATTCTAAGATTATAAAACCACTTGCTATATTCTTCTACTAGTTTTGCTTTTGATTTGGAATTTTGAAGAGAAGGAGAAATCACTGTGAACTAAGGTGCCAGGAAAAATTTCATATGGCGAGTGAGATTCAAATTGACCTTGAAGTGTGAGTTGAATTTAAATAGAGTAGACAAAATGGTAGAGACATTTTGGACAGAAGGAATGAGAGAGGGAATATATTTTTCATATTCATGGAACAATAATACCACTGGCTGAGGTGGCAAGTCATATAAAACTGCAAGTTTAGAGATATTCATTTGGCTCCATTTCTTGTAAATTATTTTGGCTCACTTTTATCATTTTTTAAAATCTGCATTCTGGTGTTATAGTTTTCTGTCATGTAATAGTTTTCTGTCACTTTCTTTTCATAGTGACTTCAGTATTCTTCCTGAGGAAAATATGTGGTGAAATTTTGTTGCCTGAAAAGGCAAAAAAGGGAAGGGTGGTTTCCTACCAGAGTAGTTTGAACATTGTGAATATTTACTAGTCTAGTTTATTAGAGTTGAGTTATAATTTCTTTAAAAAAAAAGTCGTGCTGTAGTAATTTACATAATTAATGAAGTGAGAGCACTCAAGTATAGTTACCAGATATCAATCTTCAAAAATGTTGAAATACCAGTGTGTCCACTAGTTACATCAAAGAGTTATGAGCTCACCATTTAATATACAGATTAATATGTTGGATTCTCTAGGTGATGAAAGTATTTACAGATGCCACCCTTAAGACTGAGTAGCAGCATTGTGTTCAGTTTGGTTGTTGCTCAGGATGTGTAATAGTTTCTGTTCAGCCGTGAGCCACGCCTGGTAATAACTGAGTGGAGTGATCCTGCAACTTTACCAGTTACACGTTTCTGGTTGTAATCTGATTTGGAGCTCTTGGAAGGCTACTGTTTTCTTTTCTACAATCTAGTTGTAAGGATTATGTGGCACTAATTATGTGGATTAATTTTCACTACTCAGGTATTTAAAAAAGTATTCAACATCTTATTTGTTCATTGTTTTATTTTTCTCTCCTTAGCGCACTTTTCCTTGGAGATGCTTGTTCTTTTAGAGCTTGTTGTCTGTGTATGTTTATATCCAGGAAAAACAGACACATTTTTAACTATACTTTTCATTTATAGTTTCTGTTGTGAGGAACTCTTACAGTGATAAGAAAAATTTGTTATTCTCTGGTAGAGGAGAATAAAAATAGAGTTTAAAAAAACAAATGAGTGTTTGATAATTTTGCTACTTGTTTTGCTGGCTTGTATGCTTTTCTGTTTCTAATACTAATACATTTAGAAATAAGTAACGAAATTACTCTGTTCTGTATAGTTACTAGAATTCATTGTCTGTTTTTTTAGTCGTGAATGGAACTGAAACATTAAAAGAAAGTACATGAAGTTAATGATATTGAACATGTTGAGAGACAGAGCCTTCTGTCATTCTTTTAGCACTTGATGGTTGGCAAGACTATAAAAATAAACATTCTTTTTAATGTTTCTCTTTTTAGGTATGTTGATAGCTTGTCATTTGTATTTGAGCTCATTTAGCTTTTAAAATAATCATCCCTAGAAAATTAAATCCTCTGTGACTTTCCTCACTTTAACGATACTGATAGGTCTTTTAATTTTTAAATTAAAAGGTAATGAAGTTCAACTTTTACTTTTTTAAAGGCCTAGGGATTATTCCTATTTTAAAATTCATACATAAGTGCTAACTGAGACCATATCTGATTTAAAGAGTTGGGTGGTGAGTTGAGTTCTTGTCTTTTTTTCTGCTGTCCCAGTGTTTCCAGGTTCTAGGGATAACAGGATAGGGGTATTCTTTTAAAATTAATCCTTAATCTTTTTTTCTTTGTTCTGGTAGCTTTGTAACTTTAAAGAACATTGGCAAGGCCTCTAAAGGGTAGTACCCTGAGGCTCTTCAACTGATGATAAATTATCCTTAGAATGAAGTAGTCTGGGATATAAGCTGGAAATCTGGGAGTCATCCTCCAGAAGCTTACTGGTTTGATTCTGTTTCTTCAGTTGATCTCTCCAAAACTAATTTTGGCTTTTGCCTTCTCTTAGCCTAAATGATCTTTGTCTTTAATTTCATCCTCCACACCAGAGCTTTAATCCTTTATTTAAAATATAAACCTCATTATGTTACCCGCCTGCTTTACTAGCTTTCCAGTGCCTAAGAATGACATCTTTATATCCATCATGATATAGCCCTTTATTTCTTACCACTTGCTCTCCACTGAAAGGTTTGTGATTTATCATGGCAGTTTGTAATACCTCCTACAATTTTTACTCTTGTCTACCTCCTGCTCTTCCTTCTGTTTGCAGTATTGTTGTCACTTTTCTTTGCTTGGATAACTTTTACTCTTTTAAGATTGAACTCAGTTCACTCCCTTGCAGGGGGGTCTTGCCCTGATTTAATCAGTCCCCATCTTTCTGTGCCTATAGTAAGATCTTGTCCACATCCCTGGAATGTATTATATTAAACCCATTTTATGGCTCTTTTCCCAATTAGACTGTTAGTTCCTTTAAGCAAAGACCATGTCTTATTCATCATTGTATCTACAGTGTCTAGCAAGTGACTAGTATATAGTGGAGGCTCAATGAATATTTGTTGAACTGAGTTCAGCTCATTGCTGTACATTGAAGTCTTATTGAAGCTCCTGGATCCGTGGTTCCTGGATACCAGTCAGCTGTATCGAGACACCTGGGGAGCATTTTAGAACATTTTATAGGTTTTTGAGCATTACTCTGTAAAGAATTATGATTCAGTACATCTGGAATGAGGCCTGGGAATAAGTATTTTTAAAAAGCTCCTCAACTGATTCCAGTTTGCTTATAGGTTTGAGAAACATTGTCCTAGTGTATTATTGTATTATTCCATTGTATTTTATGTAAAAAAGTTGCCCCCTAGACCTCATATAGTAATTTATTATTTAAGGTTTATAAATTATAGCTACTAAAGTAAGGATATATTTTAGGTCACTTTTTTTTTTTTTTTTTTTTTTTTTTTTTGCGGTATGCGGGCCTCTCACTGTTGTGGCCTCTCCCGTTGCGGAGCACAGGCTCTGGACGCGGAGGCTCAGCGGCCATGGCTCACGGGCCCAGCCGCTCCACGGCATGCGGGATCCTCCCGGACCGGGGCGCAAACCCGTGTCCCCTGCATCGGCAGGCGGACTCTCAACCACTGCGCCACCAGGGAAGCCCTAGGTCACTTTTTAAATACCATATGTAGAAGTATCTTTAAGCTTCTCATTGTGAGGCCTATTAGCATTTTGTTAACACTGAACTGAAAAAAGCCCCATTTAAGCAGGAGTCTTCTCGAATTGATAGTAATATTAGTTGGGCTTCATTCCATGAATTTAAGTATTTTTGGCAATTTGTAATTACTTCTCACTTTTTATTATAATTTTTCAAAATGATTTTTAAGCATTTTGTTGTGGTTTAAAATTAAATTAAATTGAACAAATCTTAAGTGTATATAGCTCAGTGAGTTTTTACATATGTAGATATCTGTAAGGCAACAGGTCAACATCTAGAACATTTCTAGCTCCTCAGAGTTTCCCCCATTTCCCTTCCCAATTAATAAACACCCCTCCCACCACAAGATGAGCACTCTTTTGACTTGTATTACCATCAGTTAGTCTTATGTACAAAACCTTTTTGTAGTTTTAATCATATCTTTTGGTGAATATGTGCACTCATTTCTCTTGAATTTACACATGGAATTGCTGAGTTAAGGGCAGACTTGTGTTTAACTTAAGAAGGTAATGCCAGTTTATACTCTATGATTGCAATTCATATGAAAATTGAAATTAAATTATTTGAAGCTTATGGTGAAATTTTAATAGGCTGAAACTTCCCTTTGTTTTCCAAAGTGTCCTATTTTGTCAAAAATATACATAGAAAGAAAATTTAAGTGTCATTTTATAGTTGCCAAAAAGGTAGTTTTGTTTTATTCAAATAATTTTTCCCATATAAGTAATTTTTTCTTTTTCCCTTTCCTTAGGTTGATCTTTCCTTGTGGCTTGGCAGGCAGTCATAGGACTGCAAAATGGGTCTCCGGATTCACTTTGTTGTTGACCCACATGGTTGGTGCTGCATGGGTTTGATTGTCTTTGTCTGGTTATACAACTTTGTTTTAATTCCCAAAATTGTCCTCTTTCCTCACTATGAAGAAGGACATATTCCAGGCATATTAATAATAAGTAAGTTTCTAGATCTTTATTTATTTCTTTGGATAATTAAAGCTTTTTCTCATTGTGAATGTTTTTGGAGTAAAATACCACTATAATAACCTTCCTTTTAGTATTATTCAGTGCTATTAATATGAAGTTATTTACTAAATTATGGACATTTTTAAAAAGAATGGCCTTTATATATTTTGCAGGGTTAGATAAATGTGATATCTTCATACCTAACTCTACAAAATATATAAAGACCATTTTGTAGGTCTGTGTGTATTTTCAATGTTTCTGTTATATACTTATTGCAAATGTGGAAGGAGTTTTAAGAATGATTATGATACACATTATTGAGAAAAAGTTTCATGATATAAAAGTTATTGATTATGATTTTGATTATGATAATACTTTGAACTTCTGGATAATTATTTTCTCCTATAGTTTAATGGTGATGGTTTGCTTATGATTAAAAGAATAAGATTGAAGTGATATGTTTTACATGTACATGGCATTTATCATTTTCATGTACATTATGTCATTTTGATCTCATAAGAGCTGTGGGAAGTATAATCTGTTTTACAATTGATAAAACTGACCAATACCATGCAGTCAGTCCTGGAGTTAGCACTTGAACTAAGTTTCCTATTACAGGTGCAGTGCTTTTATCCCCCCAACAAAATGCCTATTTCTTTTTCATCTAAAAGGTAGAATTATGATGAATGAATATATTTTCCTTTACTGTTATTTTTTCTAGTTATTCATTTTAAAACACAAAAATTTCTAGATTCTTTATTTTCAAATTAACTATCTTAAGATCTATTGAAAAGAGCAATTGAACATCACTAACCCAATGTAATTTTGAAGCTACCCACTTAGAGTTAATGAAAAAGTTTATAGGTTTAAAAATGCTGCTTTGATTCTGTCAAATATAGTACATGTAATAATTAAAAGGGATTCATTTATACCAATATTAGTAAGGAATTTCTGTTAATAAAGAATCTGGTTTATAACAAGTTTATCAGTTATTATTATACAAAATAACTATTTAAAATTACTACATTTTACATAATCCTCTTGGCAGTATTATTTGATGAATGAAATGAATTAATCATCTTTCCATCTTATTTTTGAAAATTATTTATCCTGATGGTATTAATTAAAATATACATTTATCCTTTAGATATGCTTGTTGAAAAATGTTTTGAAGGGTAAATACTAATTTTATTTATTTACTTATTTGTTTGTTTATTTCCAAGTATTCTATGGCATTGCCATATTTTGTCTGGTTGCCTTAGTGAGGGCCTCAATAACTGATCCAGGAAGACTCCCTGAGAACCCAAAGATCCCACATGGAGGTATGGTACCTTTCAGATTTATCAGTTTTACAATGCCAGAATTATCATCTTTATTAATGTATTTGACTGCCTTTAGTATATTAATTATATATGTCATGTAACGCCACTTTCAAGTCTTTCCTCAGTTGTTTCCTTTCCAGACTTCTCAATTTAAAACCACAAATCTCAGCTGACTCCTCATATCCCCCACTCTCTGGCTCTCCTTTTCAGTTTACTTGTTTATTTATTTGTCTCTCCCTCCTCCCACTCTACATCTATATAACCTCTGTGAGGGTGTAGATTCTTTGTTTTGTTTTCTTCATTTGTTCAGTACTGTATCCTTAATGCCTAAATAGTCTCTGTCACTTAGTAATAGTTGCTAGGTAAATATTTGTTGAATGCTATATAATTACTGAGAAATTATATTTTTATTTAGTAAAGGAATTTTTTGATGGTGCCACTTACCTCATGATATTATTGATATAATATTGCTTAAATATTTGTAGTGTTATAATACTATTGCCTATATTTCTTCAGGTTCGAACAATTCAGTGAAAATTTTGAAAGCCTTTTATTCTAGTGTCAGTGAAGGTAATTTTTGGTCACTTTATTGCATAGTAACCATTCAGGCAACACAAAAAAATTACAAATGTATTGCTTGTTTTATTACATGCCAGATATAGTAAACCTCCTTTACCCTCTTTCCCAAGTTTCACTTTTCCATCATGTGCTATGTAAGCTTTGAGAACTCTCTGTACTTTCTTCTAGAAAGAAATTTATATGTCTTTGTTATACATTATAGAACCAGAAAAATTTTTATAGTTGTTTCCGAACTTGCTGTACATTAGAACCACGTGGGGAGCTTCAAAAAATCTCAATGTCCAGATCACATCCCATATTAATTAAATCAGAATATCTGGGGGTGAGAGCCAGGTATCCGTATTTTTGAAAGATCCAAGGTGATTCTAGCGTGTCACAAGGTTTGGGAACCAATGTACTAATTCTTTCTAAAATTAGATAAACTGGCAAGTCACTTATATAGCCTCCCTTGAGTTTCTGATTGTTTTTTGAGATCCATCATTTGGGGCTTACTTGGTCTTGCAAGTTTAACGATTAAGTGGGAATGATATGACACTGATGTTTATGTAGAAGTTTCTGAAAATTATCTTGAATATTTAGTTTTTATTAATTTATAGAAGCAGTATCACTGTCATTTAGCGGTTATTGTGTGTGTGCGCGCGCATGTACCTGTGTTTGGTCAGGGAGGATGGCACTCTGTAATTTGTATAGAATCCCTCTTCTCTACTAGCCTAAACCAAAGGCTCTCTAAAATGTTGATACATGTATTTTCTTTCTTTTTTTTTTTTTTTTTTGCGGTACGCTGGCCTCTCACTGTTGTGGTCTCTCCTGTTGCGGAGCACAGGCTCCGGACACGCAGGCTCAGCGGCCATGGCTCACGGGCCTAGCCACTCCGCGGCATGTGGGATCTTCCCGGACCGGGGCACAAACCCGTGTCCCCTGCATCGGCAGGCGGACTCTCAACCACCGCACCACCAGGGAAGCCCTGATACATGTACCTTCTACTTCAACTCTAAAACCCAATGTTATCAGAAAATCAAAGAAGCAGGCTTTTCCTAACTCAGGACTCATTTCTGATGAAATCTTTAGTTTGCTGTGGTCAAACATTCAAATGCCTACATCTGTCAGATACTGCAAATCGGTGAAAGGGGCCAGGGAGGAACTATTTTATGTTGAAAATCTCATATCTTATCTAAAGGGAGTGGCACTATTCAGCTACAGTGAAATAGTCATACAGGCCTGGTATTATTAGATACTGTAATTTTTGAAGAGAAAATATAGAATCTCAATTTTTATGAGACATTTCATGATTTTTAAAAATATTGGCAACTAATTCAAAATTTTTAAAGCATTGTTTTAAAATAAATACCAAATGGATTATACCTGTCGGTCAGATTGAATCCACCTGAAACTGCTGTGTTACCTTCAGCTTATAGACTCCAGTGATGGAGGACACCATGGCGTCTTGCCAACTATTTGGATATCTGCATTATATCTGGTCTCATTGACATTTGGCCTGTTTTTCTTCAGTGAAGAGTTCCCATTTGCCCAACCAAAAAGCATGCATTCATTTATCACATTTTAATGTTTCCAAAGTCTCTTGGTATTGTTACAGAGCTACACTGGCAACCGATTCTGTCAGAAAACCTCTGTTAAAACCCAACCCTTGTATTGATTTTTGTAGTTTCAAGTTATATTTTTCTCCCCAAAACATTACTTTGTGATTTGAGATATAGTAATTGAGAAGAGGCCCCCTAATATGTGAGTCTTTTAAAAGACTCAAATAGAAGGTGATTCCTTCCTTTTTGAGGGATAAACCAAACCAAATCTTGCTTTATAGTCATTCATGCATTTACAGCATTAATAAGGTTCCCTGTTAAACAATGAGATGCTGTTTACCTTACATTAAAGAGCATCTATCATTTATAGAGTTTACCTTTTTTCTTTTATTTGTTTTATGTTTTGATTTTTCTTTCCTTACAAAATGTATCTGTTAATTTTTTATCTTCTATAGCTACCATAAATTAGGAGTTGGATTCTGTCTCCCATAGGCTTTTATTTTGTTAGATGGGTAGTACAAAAGTCTTGTAGGTGACCATCAGACACCAGAATGTATCAGTCACCAAGATCCTATTTGGACATGAATAAACCCTGAAGAAAAAAGGGAGAAGACTAAGAAATGGTTTCTAGATACATAGGGTGGTAGGTTAAGATGGATGGCTTTTTTTCTTGCTCTGCAAAGCAAAAACATAGATGATACTTTAATTTCTGGATTTTAAAAATAGTGATTTTTTTCTTTTCTAAAAACATAAATGTGTGTGTGTACTTGTGTGTGAAAATGTGCATTTTCATTTGTATTTTTCATTTTAGATTCTTACATCTTAAAGTGAGCCTTAAATGGCTCAAACCCTTTCTTTGAACAAATTTATGTTCCAGACCATAGGTCAGCACATTCTTCTGTACTGTTAAGGGCCAGATAACAAATACTTTTAGCTTTATGGACCATATGGTCTCTGTCACAAGTCCTCAGCTCTGTCATTGTAACCCAAAAGCAGCCATAGAAGTATGTAAATGAATGGGCATAGATAGCTGTGTTCAAATAAAGCTTTATTTATAGACATTGAAATTTAAATTCCAAGATTTTTATATGCCACAAATTATTATTGTTATGATCATTATAATTTTCAATCATTTAAATTTGTAAAAAACATTCTTACCTCATGGGTCACACAAAAACAGGTGGTGGCCTGGATTCCCCTGTGGACTGTAGTTTGCCAACCATAGTCTACACTACAGAATGAATTACAGTCTTTCTCTGACTCTAGCCAAACGCTCTTTTCTGAGGATACAACATTTTAAGTATGAAATAAATAATTTATTCTTTGCAGTATTATGTGCTGAAATTGCCAATAGCGAATACCCCATATTTATTTTTTAAGGGGCTGGTTTAAGAACATAAAGTTTTCATGTTGTCTTTTAATGAAAATCGGCTCATCAAAGAGAGTCTCCTTCCTGACCATATTCCTTGTAGTATGTGAATTCAGAGTTTTAACATTGGGATATTTGGGAACATCTAACATCCACTAACATCTAGGGGGAAAAAAAAAGTGACATGCTTGTGACCTTGTATTATGCTACGAATGAAATAGTTCAATTGTACCTAAATTAAGCTTTAATATTGTTGCTCTCTCATGTAATATGTTTTCATTAAAATAAGAATTGTAAGGAAGAAACAAGAGAATTTTATTTTAAAGTGAAATTTTAAATGTAAAAGATAATTTCTCAACTTTCATATTATTGGAATGAACAGTTGATTTGATATAGCTTTTATTCATACTTTATTGATTTCTTCAGAGACATTGGTAGCAGAATGATTTTCCAACACTTTACTATAAAATTCCAGTATGTTGATTTTACTTCTGGCCATTAAACTAGAAATAAGGGAATTAAAATAGGGTATCTTTTTAGAAAATTGAAAACTACCCACAATTCTATTACTTATATTTAGAACCTTTCATTAAAAAATTTTTTAAACTTCTCATGCTTTAGCAAGGATTTAGTTACTACCTACTATGTGCTGGGTCACATTTTGCATACACTAATACTCACTCTGAGTATTGGAGTTAGGTTAATTTTACTATGCCCATACTTTTAGTGAGGTTAGGATATAGTTTTCCATAAGTGATATAAAGTTTAAAAATTTTTATAAAAGTAAAATTCCATTTCAAGAAATATTAAAATGATATGTTCTATATAACAGTTGTCTTATCTTGGTAGATGACTGTCCCATAGAGTTTTTATGGATCTAATTAGAGCAGTTCTTAATGAAAACAAATGACTTTTCCCTTTATTCCTGTAAACTTCATGTTTTTAAGCACAAAACTTAATTGTGTGCTCTTTCACAACAGACTAGAGGAAATTGCTACTTGGTGGTAGGATAGAATTTTGTAAAGGACTCCTTTATTTCCATTAAATAGTAATCTTCTTGTAATCTTCTTCACCTCTGAAACTATTCTAGTACCTCTTAAACCCATCTGAAATCTTTTTCCAACCCTCTCTCATAAACATTCCCAAATGAGTCCATTAATATTTTAAAAAACGGTTTCATGTGGGGAGTTTGGGAGATGCCATCTCTGTTTTTCTTAAAATATCATAACGATTGATTTTGACTTATTAATCTATGAAACCAATACTCAGCATTATTTCTTCTTTAGAGCCTTTAGATAACAAATTTCTAGAAATTAATTTGTTTAAATATAATTCTGTTTTAATGTAATAATTTGGTTGTACTTCGGGGTTTTGTCATTAAATTTTACTTACAGCAATATGCTTAAACTCAAGTATGTTGTTTTCTCTTAGTTTAACTATTAATAGTGTCTTATTTTTATAGTGTTTAAAATTAGAAACGTACAAAATAAAACATGCATAGAATAGAGCAGCAACATTTTTGGCAAACATTTTCACTGGACACTTAGACACATATATCGAAGAATTCCTATAAACTCTTCTAAACACTTGTTGCTAAATTTCAACATTATTCATGTGCCTTTATTAAATGGATTTTAATTTCCTTCTCTAGAAAGGGAGTTCTGGGAATTGTGTAACAAGTGTAATTTGATGAGACCAAAGCGTTCCCATCACTGCAGCCGCTGCGGCCACTGTGTTAGGAGAATGGATCATCACTGTCCATGGTAAGAAATAAGTAATTCACTTTTTGGAAAAAATGGTAGTAAAAAATAAATCTTAGTACTTAGCAGATTTAAACAAAGGTTATATTAGACTTATACAGTTTAAGAAAACCTTTTTAATGAAGATCCTTTTATTTGATCATATGGTTCTGTCAACTCCCAAAGTCATTTTTTCCAGAGATCCTATATTTTCTCACAAGGAGATATTTGAGCAGAAAACTAAGAATTAACATGCACCCAAATATACAAAAGAACTAAGGTGGTTTTATTAAATGAGGCAATGTATGTAAAGCATTTAGTGTAGTATCTGACATAGAAAATACTTAAATATAAATATAGTAGCTGTTATTGATTCTAACTGTAATAAACCGTATACATCTCATTGTTTGTATTTCCCTTCCAATTTGTTTAATTAAAGAGTAACACATTTCAGATACCCTTATACCTCATTTCACCCACTTTCAGCCTTTTTCAGTGTTATGGATTGGTAATAGGTATTAACATTACATGCTGGCTGGATGTGTAAAAAGTGGTGGTTAGCTGATTCTGCTGAACTGCCAACATTTTTGGTCAATAGGGGGCTCTCTTGTAATATTTAAAGAAAATGTTCAGTTGAGAAATAGAATTTTTGAAAACAAATGCTGTGAGAGTTCTTCATTGTATCTCATTTCAAAGCTGTCACAAAAATCTGTGAAAAAGATATTGTATTTAATTCTGCTTTCCTAGCATGGGATCTCTGTATAAATATTTAAACTGGTATGGTGTAGCACTTTATAAATATATCTATATACATATATATTTATGTTTGTACACACATACATGCATATATGCAAAGTTAGCTACATAATAATCTTCTTAAATTTATAATTGCATTTATCTAAGGTTGACTCAGGGTAGAGTTTAGCTTTGCCTAGTAATGCTAATCAATTTAGAGTTTCCCTTGTTTTTGATAACACAAGTTATTATTAGCAAGCTTTTAGTAAGAATTTGGTTTTCACTATAAACTGATTGTTTAAATACAAGGTAATTTCCTGAGATTAAGAAAAAGTAAAAGCACTTTGTTACTATGTAAAAAAGTTGAAAATTCCATAAACAGGATAGTTTAGTATATAACATACAGTTGGTGTTGAAAAAATGTGCCTTGACTTTAAACAGATTAATTCTCAAGTGATTTTACAAACCTCAGTGTTCTGTTTACAGTTGCAGTAGTAGTAGATTTTTTTTTTTTTTTTTTTTTTTTTGCGTTATGCGGGCCTCTCACTGTTGTGGCCTCTCCCATTGCGGAGCACAGGCTCCGGACGCACAGGCTCAGTGGCCATGGCTCATGGGCCCAGCCGCTCCGTGGCATGTGGGATCTTCCCGAACCAGGGGCACGAACCCGTGTCCCATGCATCGGCAGGCGGACTCTCAACCACTGCGCCACCAGGGAAGCCCAGTAGTAGATTTTTTAAAGCTATATAAAACATGTATTCAGGTAAGGGATAATCACATTTAAAAACTCAATTTTATATGCTTTTTAGAGTAATATTTCTGATTAAAAGTATAATAAATGTTCAGGATAGTCGGTTGGATATTGATACCTCCTTTTAAGTGAATGCAATAGCTTAAGCTTAAAAAATAATCAATTAGGAACTGTTTCGGTACTATATAGATGAGTGATTTTATTTATTGATTTATTTTCAAGGAATAAAGATTGACTTGGTGACAAAATAAAGTGCTGTTTAGCCAAAATTCTAAGATTGGGGTGAGCTCTCTGTTCCTAGGCCTTGCGCCTCCATAGTTGTAGTCACCTTCTCAGAACACTGGAGGGAAGAAGAGTGAAAGTACAAAGAGCTGGAGCATAGGAAGGGAGGGTAGACCAGGGGGCCTGCATAGATTCAGGGATTTATGTGATTGAATTCCCTAATAGAGCAGTGCTGAGATATTCAGAGAGTGAGGGAAATGTACAGTATAACTAGAAGCAAGGAGGATTTTTTATTTTTTTCAGAAACTGCATTATCTTAGCTGCTTAACAGCTTTGGATTTGGAGGTCAGTTCTCTGATGACCTCAAGGTTTACTCTATTTTTGGCTCTAATCAATCCTTCCAAGGAACTTGCTACCAAAAGAACTCTTACATGTAGATTATCTTAGTGTTTCTTAAAGTTCCGTGCTTAAGAGGAATGCCATGATCATAGCAGTTGTTTCTCAAATTTTGGGGGGACAGAAAGGAGTGGGGCAAGTATAAGTCATCTTTCAAGCAACAGCTATTGAAGAGTATTTTTGAGTGCATACAGAAGCACCCTTCTCTGGTAGCCCTGCTTGCAGATAACAAAACACAGGAAGTTTTCTTGTTTACAAAGCATGCACTCTTTAGTCTAAGAAATGCCTCTTCCAGGTTTTCTGTTCAGTTATATATCTGATTTTAAAAAATAGTTAGACAGCACACCTTTAAAACAACAATTTAAGTTAGGAATTTGACCCTATTTATTTATTTTTTCAAACAGTGGCAGTGTAATGCTATATTGAAATGAAAACATTTGTGAAAGGTAATTTGTAGTTTTGAACCAGGGTTTTCTGCCGGAATTGTAAAATATTTTGAAAATTTAGGTACAATAAATAACCTTGGAACAATAAAATAGCTTGCATTAATCTTGAATATTTTGGGATTATGACATTAATCCTTTTTCCTAGTTGTGGTTCACTGTTATATTGGTGGAAATGTAGCTCTGAGAATTTATAAATACTTTTGGATATGTGTTTATTTTCAGGAACCAAGGTTAGATTTTAAAAGTAAGAAAAATTGTGAATGCTTAGCAGTATCTCAGAGTGGCAGGTTTAAGTTATTTTACTTCACATCATTCAAATTGGTCTGCACAGCTAGAATGCTGCAGTGGAAGAGCAGTATACAGAAAAGGGTTCTTGTTCTCTTGACCACTGTCTCTCCTAACTGTACATCCTCTGGCAATTGTCCTAACTCCTTTGTTCCTTTTTTGTATCAGTGAAGCAAGGAGGCTGCCATCTGTTCTTCCCTGCCTCACTGGGTTGTTGTTGAGTTGAATCATATACAGGACTTCTTTAAAAAGTAGAATGTGCTTTACAAATGTGAAGTGGCATATTTGTGTCATATCTTATGTACTCTTTGCTTTTAGGTTTGAGTGACTTTAGCTTATCTCCGTGAAGTAAAGCACATATGAAGTTTGTGCTTTATGTGAAGTTTGTGTGTGTTTGCATTTATCTCTACTTTTACCATCCTAAAATTAATATTAAAGTTTGAAATATTTTTTCTTTTTCCTTTTTTTCTTCAGGATTAACAATTGTGTTGGTGAAGATAATCACTGGCTTTTTCTGCAGTTGTGTTTCTACACTGAACTTCTTACTTGCTACGCACTGATGTTTTCTTTCTGCCACTATTATTACTTTCTTCCACTAAAAAAGCATAACTTGGTAAGAAATTTCTATATCAACTAATGTTAGAGCAACTATATTATACAGTTATTAACATGTGGTGCTTTTAAGTGCAGAAAACTGAAAACAAAAACAACAAACATAAACCCTCAAATTGGTGCATTTTAAAATATATTGGAATTGAGAAAGTGGACCCTGTTCTGATATTGCCTTTTAACCACATCTATTTATGATTATTTATTAGTGTTGAGTTCTTTAAAAAGTGACATATTAGATCTCTTAATAATATATTGGTTTAAAAATATCTACAGTAATGAAAAACAAAGTGAAAAATGTTAGCTTCTTGTTTCTTCTCAGGAATAAAAATAGACTTGTTTAATTCTTAAAGGTTCTCAAAGGAACATTAAGTTCTTGAGAGAAAGAACACGACGAATTTGCAGGATGCCTTAAAAAGTTATTACATACACCGTTTGAGGCATTGCTTTTTCCATTTTGTAGAGGAACTACAATAGATGTTAACAAGATTTGCCCAGAATGGTGGTGTTAGTGGTGGCGGTGGTAATAGCATCACCTAGGAGTGTTAAGGCTTGACTGTATATCAACACTATGCTATGGGCGTGTGATTTTAATTCTTACGTTAATGCTCACTACAGCCACATGAGGTGGGTATGATTTTTCCCCCATTTTATAGGTGGAAACAGACTAATAGAGGTTGAATAAATAGTTACTGAAGATGCAAAGCTAGGGAAGTGATTATTAAACTGGTTTTAGTTGTAGAGCTGGGATTTGAACCTGATTTTGTGTTTTCTGAATCATATCTTGTGTGCTTTGTGTGTAGAACTGGTATTTGAACCTGATCCTATGTGTCATTTGGACTTAGATTGTGTTTTTAAAATGCCCTCTGTGTGTGTGTTTTGTGTGTGGAGAGAGAGACAGACAGAGTATGGGCAAGGGTGCGTGTGAGAAACCGGTAGGGAAGAAAGAGGGAAGAAGGAATAGATTCCCTGATGGAGAAGGGTGTTTTCTTTCCTATTTATATCATTTTATACTGTTTAACTCTTTTTTATTAAAAATAACAATTTCGGTGGTGGTACATACAATTAAATTTTGTAATAAGAGAGCAGTTGAGAGAAGGTCTTCAAGTTCTGCATATTTAGATCTTTTTTATACACATGGTCATTTTGTTTAATTAAAAGAAGATATTTACTGTTGTTGCTTAGTTGCATATATTAGTGGGGCCTTGTGGTAATTCTCCTTATTAAATACAGAGTGAGCAATTAAAAACTAATAACTGAAAAAAGTTCAAAAGGGAGAACTGTAAATATAGGTGTTTGACATCATCACACTGAGACTAGTGCATGCTAGTACTGTGGTTTTAGAAATGTTTTATTTATAGATGAATTTCTTTTTTTATGCTTTCTCATATTTTAATTTTACTTTCTAATAAGACCAGGTACAAAAGAATGGTCACCCATAACATCCAGATCAAAAGCTCTAATGCAATAGCAGCTAATATTTAGGGAGTCACTTAGGGTCAACAAGGTACTTTTTCTGCACGTGTTATTTCTTTTAATTCCCACAACAACTGTGTGAGGTGACCTAGCCATGAGTGTGACTTTAAAGCCAAACTCCTTGGGTTTGAATCTCAATTATAGGCTAATTTCTGATATAATTGGTATTGTAGTTAAAATATGTAAAAGGTTATACATATTCTCCCAAGAGTAACCTGTTTCAAGTAGATTGAGCCTAATAAGAACAGCATTAAAATAAAAATTTACCAGTAAGATTAAGGTCAGAATGTTTTAAAAACTGAGAGAGAGGTAAAATTCAGTGGTATTAATGAAAAGCTACGAGAGCTTCTCTAGGAGGGAATGCATTGTAGTATAGTGAAGGGATTGGCAAACTATGAGCATTGGGATAAGTTTGAACCTCTGCCTATTTTTTTTTTGTCTTCTTTTTCCTCTGCCTGTGTTTGTTAATAAAGTTTTACTTGAAACACAGCTGCTCTCATCTATTTACGTATGTTTATGATTGTTTTTGTGCTACAACAGCAGAGTTGAATAGTTGTGAGAGAGGCATATGGCCTAAAAGCCTAAAATATTAAGTATCTGGCTCCTTTATTTTTTTAATTAATTTATTTTTGGCTGCATTGGGTCTTTGTTGCTGTGCGCAGGCTTTCTCTAGTTGCGGCGAGCAGGGGCTACTCTTTGTTACGGTGCGCGGGCTTCTCATTGCGGTGGCTTCTCTCGTTGCGGAGCATGGGCTCCAGGCACGCAGGCTTCAGTAGTTGTGGCAAGAGGGCTCAGTAGTTGTGGCTCGCGGGCTCTAGAGCACAGGTTCAGTAGTTGTGGCACACAGGCTCATTTGCTCTGTGGCATATGGGATCTTCCCGGATTGGGGCTCAAACCCGTGTCCCCTGCATTGGCAGTTGGATTCTTAACCGCTGTGCCACCAGGGAAGTCCAGATTAATCCTTGTATCATTATAAATTATACCTTTTAATCTGTAGTAATTATTCTTGCCTTACAGTGTTTTTCTTTGTTATTAATTTAGCTATATCAGCTTTGTTTTGGTTAGTATTTTCATGGTATGTCTTTTTCTATCTTTTTACTTTCAACCTTTATCAGTTATGTCTTGTCAGTGTGCCTTGTAGACACCAAATATTTCTTTTTTTTTAAGTTTAGTTTGATAATCTTTGTCTTCTAATTGGAATAGTCCATTTTTATTTACTGTGACTGATATTAATCCTTTCATCTTACTATGTATTTTCTACTTGACCCATCTGTTCTTTGTTTCCATTTTTCTCCTTTTCTTACCTGCTTGGAAATTTTCAATTAAAAAAGATTTCCAGTTTATCCCTTCTGATGGTGTTTCTCCTTTTACTCTTTTTAAAGTGGTTTTCCCAGAGATCAAAACATTCTTCCTTGGTTTTCTGAAGTTTAATATAAGTTGGTACTTTAAACATTGCTGTGATAGTAAATGTAGTGGCCTTAGAACCCCTCCTATCATCATTTTTGGTATTCTGGGTGCATAAAATAGATGTTGAACTAAAACTCAAGATAACAAGAAGTAATTATTGTCGTTTATATATTATGTGTTATAATACATATGTTATATGAAGTCACTATTTGTTTAGAGTTACCCACATATTGATGCTTTTTCTAGTTCTTCATGTCTTCGTAAGTTTCTAAGTTTCTTTCTGGGAGTATTTTTTTTCTGCCTCTTGGTGGAAGTGTACTGGAACAGATTCTCCCAGTTTTGGTTCACCTGAAAATGTCTTTATTTTTCTTTCATTTTTGAAGGATTTATTTGCTTGGCATAGAATCATACGTTTGGAGTTATTTTCAGGTTTTAAAAGATGTTATTTCCTTGTCTTATGGTTTCCATCATTTCTGTTGTAAAGTCAGTTGTTAGTTTTATTGTTCGTCCACTGAAGTAATGTATCTTTTCTCTGACTGCTTTTAGGATTTAGTTATTTATATTATTTCAGCTTTGCTGAGGCATAATTATATAATTAACATATAAATTTATAAGATACTTAAATTGTGCATTATGATAATTTGATATATGTATAACTTTGAAAGGATTTCCCCATCTAGTTAATTAACACATCCAACACTTCACATATTAATCTTTCTTTTTATGAGAACATTTAAGTTCTTCTCTCTTAGCGAATTTCAGTTGTACAGTATGGTGATAAAACAGTGGTCACCATGTTTTACGTTAGATCTTTACCTTATTCATCTTATGGCTAAAATTTGCACCCTTTTACCAACCTCTCCCTATTTCCCACAACCCCAGCCCCTGGCAACTACTTGTCTACTCTCAGTTTCTATGAGTTGAACTTTTTTTTTCTTAATTCCACAGATAAGTGATACCATTTGGCTTATTTCACTTAGTATAAGGCCATCAAGTTTCATCCATGTTATCACAGATAGCAGGATTCCCTCCTTTCTCATGGCTGAATAATATTCCACTGTGTATATATATATATACATCTTTTTTATCCATTCATCTATTGATGGACACTTAAGTTGCTTCCATATCTTGGCTATTGTGAATAATGCTGCAGTGAACATGGGAGTGCTGATATCTCTTTGATATCCTGTTTTCATTTCCTTTGGGTATATACCTAGAGGTAAAATTGCTGGATCATATGGTAGTTCTATTTTTAATTTTTTGAGGGGTCTCCATACTGCTTTCTATAGTGGCTACACCAATTTCTATTCCCACCAACAGTGCAAAAGGATTTCTTTTTCTCCGCATCCTTGCCAACACTTACCTTTTATCTTTCTGATGATAGCCATTCTAATCTAACAGGTGTGAGGTGATATCCCATTGTGGTCTTGATTTGCATTTCCCTGATGATTAGTGATGTTGAGTACCTTTTCACATACCCATTGGCCATCAATATATCTTCTTTGGAAAAATGTCTGTTCAGGTCCTCTGCCCATTTTTTAATCAATTATTATTATTATTTGCTATTGAGTTGTATGGGTTCTTTATATATTTTGGATATTAACCCTGTATCAGAGATATGATTTGCAAATATTTTATCGCATTACATAGGTTGCCTTTTCATTTTGTTGGTGGTTTCCTATGCTTCGCGAAGGTTTTTAGTTTGATTTAGTCCCACTAGTTTATTTTGCTTTGGTGACTTTGCTTTTGGTGTCAAATCCAAAAAAACATTGCCAAGACCAGCGTCAAGGAGCTTATCCAATATGCTTTCTTCCACCATTTTTATGGGTTTAGGTTTTATGTTCAAACCTTTGATTCATTTTGAGTGATTTTTGTGTATGGTGTAAGATAGGGGTCCAGTTTCATTCTTCTGCTTGCGACTGTCCAGTTTTCCCAGGACCATTTATTGAAGGGACTGTCTTTTCCCCATTGACTCTTCTTGGCTCCTTTGTCATAAACTAATTGACCATATAAGAGTGGGTTTTTTTCTGGGCTGTCTGTTCTGTTCCATTGATATAAGTGCCTTTTATGTCAGTATCATACTATCTTGATTACTATAGCTATGCAATATATTTTGAAATC